GGAGACGCTCTACTTACCACCCGACAAGGAGGCGCTCTAATTACCACATGATAGGGAGGCGCTCTACTTACTACACGACAAGGAGGCGCTCTAATTACCACACGATATGGAGGCACTCTACTTACCACACGACAAGGAGGCGCTCTATTTACAACACGACAAGGAGGCGCTCTAATTACCACAAGACACGGAGGCACTCTATTTACCACACGCCACTGATGCACTCGACTTACCACCCGACAAGGAGGCGCTCTACTTACCACCCGACAAGGAGGCGCTCTAATTACCACACGATAGGGAGGCGCTCTACTTACCACCCGACAAGGAGGCGCTCTAATTACCACATGATGGGGAGGCCTCTAATTACAACCCGATATGGAGGCGCTCTACTTACCACACAACAAGGAGGCGCTCTACTTACCACCCGACAAGGAGGCGCTCTAATTACCACATGATAGGGAGGCGCTCTACTTACCACCCGACAAGGAGGCGCTCTAATTACCACATGATAGGGAGGCGCTCTACTTAGTACACGACAAGGATGCGCTCTTCTTACCACACAACAAGGAGACGCTCTACTTACTACACGACAAGGAGGCGCTCTAATTACCACACGACATGGAGGCACTCTACTTACCACACGACAAGGAGGCGCTCTATTTACCACACGACAAGGAGGCGCTCTAATTACCACAAGACACGGAGGCACTCTATTTACCACACGCCACTGATGCACTCGACTTACCACACAACAGGAAGCAGCGCTTTACTTACAACATTAAACGGAAGCGCTTTACTTACCACACGACACGGAGGCGCTAGGTTTATTGGCTGGTATTTCACAGTCCCTTTTGTAAGCATAGGATTCCTCCCTAATGGTGAGGAACACCTTAACAACAACACAAACAGTAACAGGTCAACAACGTCAATATTAGTAACCGTTCGATATCGAATAATAAGGTATGTATCGTCTCACACGTCGGTTTTAACACTCATAAAGATTATTATTTTTTAGGTTTTCATTATTTTTTAGGTTTTCATTATTTCATTATTTTTTAGGTTTTCATTATTTTTTAGGTTTTAATTGGTTTTTGATGAGAGTTAAATTTACAAATGGAGTAAAACCTGTAAAAGAATGCCGTTTTGCGACGCAACAATATCAGAGCGTCTGGACATCAAATTTGACAAATCAGTGTCACTTTTAACACCAAACACTGCTCTCTGATTGGTCGGAATAGATTACTATCAACTTTATTTTCTACTGAAAACCTTATTTTCACCGATAAAACTTAAAAAAAATGACTCTCCTGAATAAAAACCTCCAGACTATTAATAAGCTATAAACTATGCAAAAACGTTATTTTGAATATCGACAACGTGATACATTGGCTCATGCCACAGTCCCAAAACAACGACAGACCACGGTGTCATGATGTACGTCATTACATCAACTACGATATTGAAGAAAAATATAAAATACTAAAAACTACAAAATTGATAAATAAATAGAAGCCGATTCATTGAATCGCATAGACTGCCTAGTAGAGACCACATTCAAGCATCGAAAACCCAAATAAAATTCCATTTTCATACAATGCATGTCAATGTATAACAGAACCACCACACCAGTACTGCCTGAGTAATATTCTTTTTTTCTTCCTGCTGAATATTTCTTTTTCATATTTTCAATTTAACAAAACATGAAAACGACCTTTTTGTTCCATTGGATTTTAAGAAAACTTGGTTCCGAAAAGATTAGGTGTTGTGACCTAGCTGAATTCCATTCAAGGGCGACAACTTTTCTTGTAGCTTTAAATAAACACAAAAGTTCATGGAGGGGCTTTGCTGTTAACTCAAACATTATCATCATATTGTGCATGTTTAGTACAAACATAATCTCATATCCTCACCGATACCGACCGGCAATCTACAACAAAGCAGTGCGTCATTAGCACTTGTAATAATCAATCAAATGCAGAATGGTGAATTACTTTCTTCAAACCTCGAGATAAAAAAAACTATATAAAATTTGTAACAGCCAAAAAAGTAGGTTTAATGACAAAAATTATATGAACTTGTTTATTCGAGATAATAAACGGGCCGCTGTGGCCGAGTGGTAACGTCATCTGGCATTCTGCTACTACTAGCCCTCCGCCAGGTACTCTCCGCAGGTCGGTGGTGTTTCTTCGGGTACTCCGGCTTTCCTCCACCACCAAAAGCAGGCACGTCCTCAAAGGACCATAGCTTTTAATAGGACATAAAACCCGAACAAACCAAACCACTTGTGACAAAAATGCCTATACAAAATCTAAATTTACCGTATATGGCCGGAGATAAAAAAAAAGTTAAATGATATTTTAAAGGCCATGGTTAATAATCCAACACAGGAGCATTGGGTTTTAAACGCTGTAACCATTATAGACACCACAACCAGTGTAGCTCTCTGGTCTGCTTACCCTGTTCCGTTACGTATAAACACGAACGGTAGTTTTTTGACGTGGATGTCGTATGGCGTCGGCGATCTGAACCGGACAAACGTCTTCTGCTGCCATTCCTCAATGGCTTCGTGTATTAGTTTGACTTGTGCTGTAGCTATTTCAAAAACGAGAGAACAAAACATAATAAGCTCTGGGTTTCCGGTTTTGTTAATAAACGTTCCGTTTTCAAGATGAAAGGTTACGTAAGTCCTTTTATGGCAACTAATCCAAAAAATAAGAAACTTAAATACGTGCATTAGGCATTAATCCATTTCAAAACATTTTTGGCAATTAAAATTTGAGAATTATCTTTAATATTTATAAATTTTATTTGATACAAAGGTATGATCGTGATACTGACAAAATATGATCAATAATAAAAAAATTAAAAAAAAATCCCCTTTAATCTGTATTATTTATAACGTGTGTGTTGTACCTGTTTACTGTATTATCTAAACCGTGTGTGTTGTACCCGTTTACTGTATTATCTATAACGTGTGTGTTGTACCTGTTTACTGTATTATATATAACGTGTCTGTTGTACCTGTTTACTGTATTATCTAAAACGTGGGTGGTGTACCTGTTTACTCTATTATCTATAACGTGTGTGTTGTACCCATTTTCTGTATTATCTATAACGTGTGTGTTGTACCAATTTACTGTATTATCTATAACGTGTGTGTTATACCTGTTTACTGTATTATCTATAACTGTGTTGTACCAGTTTACTGTCTTATCTATAACGTGTGTGTTGTACATGTTTACTGAATTATCTATAACGTGTGTGTTGTACCTGTTTGCTGTATTATCTATAACGTGTGTGTTGTACCCGTTTACTGTATTATCTAAACCGTGTGTGTTGTACCCGTTTACTGTATTATCTATAACGTGTGTTTCGTACCTGTTTACTGTGTTATCTTTAACGTGTGTGTTGTACCTGTTTACTGCATTATCTATAACGTGTGTATTGTACCTGTTTACAGTACTATCTATAACGTGTTTGTTGAACGTGTTTACTGTGTTATCTATAACGTGTGTTTTGTACCTGTTTACTGTATTATATATAACGTGTGTATTGTACCTGTTTACAGTACTATCTATAACGTGTTTGTTGGACATGTTTACTGTGTTATCTATAACGTGTGTTTTGTACCTGTTTACTGTATTATATATAACGTGTGTGCTGTACCTGTTTACTGTATTATCTATAACTGTGTTGTACCAGTTTACTGTATTATCTATAACGTGTGTATTGTACCTGTTTACAGTACTATCTATAACGTGTTTGTTGAACGTGTTTACTGTGTTATCTATAACGTGTGTTTTGTACCTGTTTACTGTATTATCTATAACATGTGTGTTGTACCTGTTTACTGTATTACCTATAACGTGTGTGTTGTACTTGTTTACTGTATTATCTATAACGTGTGTTTTGGACCAGTTTACTGTATTATCTATAACGTGTGTTCTGTACCTGTTTACTGTGTTATCTTTAACGTGTGTGTTGTACCTGTTTACTGTTTTATATATAACGTGTCTGTTGTACCTGTTTACTGTATTATCTAAACCGTGTGTGTTGTACCCGTTTACTGTATTATCTAAACCGTGTGTGTTGTACCCGCTTACTGTATTATCTATAACGTGTGTGTTATACCTGTTTACTGTATTATCTATAATTTGTGTGTTGTACCTGTTTACTGTATTATGTATAACGTGTGTGTTGTTCCTGTTTACTGTATTATATATAACGTGTGTATTGTACCTGTTTACAGTACTATCTATAACGTGTTTGTTGAACGTGTTTACTGTGTTATCTATAACGTGTGTTTTGTACCTGTTTACTGTATTATATATAACGTGTCTGTTGTACCTGTTTACTTTATTATCTATAACGTGTGTGTTGTACCAATTTACTGTATTATCTATAACGTGTGTGTTATACCTGTTTACTGTATTATCTATAACTGTGTTGTACCAGTTTACTGTCTTATCTATAACGTGTGTGTTGTACCCATTTTCTGTATTATCTATAACGTGTGTGTTGTACCAATTTACTGTATTATCTATAACGTGTGTGTTATACCTGGTTACTGTATTATCTATAACTTGTGTGTTGTACTTGTTTACTGTATTATCTATAACGTGTGTGTTATACCTGTTTACTGTATTATCTATAACTTGGGTGTTGTACCTGTTTACTGTATTATCTAAACCGTGTGTGTTGTACCCGTTTACTGTATTATCTAAACCGTGTGTGTTGTACCCGTTTACTGTATTATCTATAACGTGTGTATTGTACCTGTTTACAGTACTATCTATAACGTGTTTGTTGAACGTGTTTACTGTGTTATCTATAACGTGTGTGTTGTACATGTTTACTGAATTATCTATAACGTGTGTGTTGTACCTGTTTTCTGTATTATCTATAACATGTGTGTTGTACCTGTTTACTTTATTATCTATAACGTGTGTGTTGTACCCGTTTACTGTATTATCTAAACCGTGTGTGTTGTACCCGTTTACTGTATTATCTATAACTTGTGTGTTGTACTTGTTTACTGTATTATCTATAACGTGTGTTTTGTACCTGTTAACTGTGTTATCTATAACGTGTGTGTTGTACATGTTTACTGAATTATCTATAACGTGTGTGTTGTACCTGTTTGCTGTATTATCTATAACGTGTGTGTTGTGCCTGTTTACTGTATTATCTATATCGTGTGTGTTGTACCTGTTTACTGTATTACCGATAACGTGTGTGTTGTACCTGTTTACTTTATTATCTATAACGTGTGTGTTGTACATGTTTACTGAATTATCTATAACGTGTGTGTTGTACCTGTTTGCTGTATTATCTATAACGTGTGTGTTGTACCCGTTTACTGTATTATCTAAACCGTGTGTGTTGTACCCGTTTACTGTATTATCTATAACGTGTGTTTTGTTCCAGTTTACTGTATTATCTATAACGTGTGTTTTTTACTTGTTTACTGTATTATCTATAACGTGTGTTTTGTACCTGTTTACTGTATTATCTATAACCTGTGTGTTTTACTCACTGCATTTAGATTCTTTATCTATCGCCATAAGAACCTCGTGATTGTCCCAAATCAGATTATTTGCTGTTGGCACTTTTATTTTTTTCCGGACACTGGTTCCATTTTGTTGTGAGCTACTAATATGATCAATAATAAAAAAATTAAAAAAAAATCCCCTTTAATCTGCTTTATTTATAACGTGTGTGTTGTACCTGTTTACTCTATTATCTATAACGTGTGTGTTGTACCCATTTTCTGTATTATCTATAACGTGTGTGTTGTCCCTGTTTACTGTGTTATCTATAACGTGTGTGTTGTACCTGTTAACTGTATTATCTATAACCTGTGTGTTTTACTCACTGAATTTAGATTCTTTATCTATCGCCATAAGAACCTCGTGATTGTCCCAAATCAGATTATTTGCTGTTGGCACTTTTCTTTTTTTCCGGACACTGGTTCCATTTTGTTGTGAGCTACTCATAAAATACAACAGTAAATAGTTTGTTTTAGAACGCATACAAAATAACCTTAAATCATGTACATTTATAACATAAATACTGAAGTTATATTTGTTACACAAATACCTACATAATATCATTTTACCATTTTGAAATATGTTTTTCTTCGTAACTAAATTCACCGGTGGTTGTCATTACAACATTCAACTAAAAATACTAATATATGTAAATATGCAACATAAAGGTTGTTCAATGTTGAGTATTGTAGAGATTTTATGTTGAAGTATTCCAAAAATACAAACCCATAACAGGTAGATTACCTAGTCGTTCATCAGCACGCTCACGCACACTCAGAGCTGATATATGGAGCGATAAATCAGGATATTTTGGTGAGATCCTAGACCAAGCCTGCTCCAACACGATCTTTTAATAATTCATATTTTTAGGTTGTTCGGTATGAACGAGAGAAATCAAAGTCTGATTGTAAGCGGATGACATAGAGAGAATCACGTGATTGATCGTAGACTTGGTAATTGATACATAATGGCAAAAAAAAACTCCAAGTTGATGCAGCATTTGACAATACGCATGTAGACATCTTTTGAGATCGAGCGGCATCAGTGTTTTACTGTAGGCTGGTAATTAGGTCTGTCTTACTGTAGGCTGGTTAGGTATGTTTTATTGTAGGCTAGTAAGGTCTGTTTTACAGTAGGCTTGTTAGGTCTGTTTTATTGTAGGCTTGTTAGGTCTGTTTTACTGTAAGTTGGTAAGGCCTGTTTTTCTGTAGGCTGGCCAGGTCTGTTTAACTGTAGGCTGGCTAGGTCTGTTTTATTGTAGGCTGGATAGGTCTGTTTTACTGTAGCCTGGTTGGTCTGTTTTACTGTAGGATGGTTATGTCTGTTTTACTGTAGCCTGGTTGGTCTGTTTTACTGTAGGCTGGTTAGGTCTGTTTTACTGTAGGATGGCTAGGTCTGTTTTACAGTAGGCTGGCTAGGTCTGTTTTACTGTAGGCTGGTTAGGTCTGTTTAACTGTAGGCTAGTTAGTTCTGTTTTACTGTAGGCTGGCTAAGTCTATTTTACTGTAGGCTGGTTAATATAAACTTTATTTCATTCCAAATTAACTTGCATTACATCACATAACATACAAAGTACAGAGGAATGGGATCCGGAAACAAGTTGAAATAACTTAAATAAATCCCTTTCCGAGAATTTATCTCATTAATTTAGGGCATGATGGTATAGTTACTGAATTCTATGGAAAGAAATATAAACACTTAAAACAATAGCTTACTTTTAAACGTAGTTCAAGGGATATTTGAAATGAGAGTAAAAGAAAAGGGGTACAGGGGGTGGGGGTGGTGGGGGTATAGATGCCCGTGCCAAAAAGAATAGAAGGAGAAGAAATAGGTGATGTGAAACAAAGGATCGTTGTATAATGAATAGAACTTAGTCAAATCTTTCAGAATGGATGATGACGTTTTGTACAGATGAAAAATTTAAGGCATTTTCGTCATCTGTAAGCTCATTATTCCCGAACAAAAGTAAATCAGTTGAGAGTGGATGATTGATTTCGTTAAATGTATGCAACCGTAGTTGAGAAAAAAGACAACAATGTAATAGATAATGTTCATTGGTTTCATTTGCTTGCATGCAAGAACACAGAGGACTATCAATTAGATTTCTCTGGTATAGATAAAACTTAAGGGAACTACACTCCATTCTTAATCTAGCATGATGTATCTACCCCAGTCTGGTACCATTCAAGTAGAAAATTTTAATTTTGTGAGAGGGCTTGCGTAGATAGGTTTTAAGTTAATAGATTGAAGGGTCGTTCTTGACATAGTCAGGCAAGGAGTTCCAGATACTGATGACAGATGGCAAAAAAGATTTATTATAGAGACTAGTATGACTAACTAGTGGACGAAAATTATTTCCCGTGCGAGTATCATGGTTGTGGTAATTACGGTTACGCTGAGGTAGAATATCTAGAAGATATTGAGGAGCCAGACCATGAACCATTTTGTGGAAAAGAATAAGCTTGTGCTGTTTACGTCTTTCCTCGAGGGGAGACCAACCTTTTTCAGTATAAAGTTTAATTCTACTTGTGAGTCTAGTGCCGCCAGTGACTATGCGTGCTGCTTCTAATCGAAGATTTTCTAATAATTCAGATTGATCTTTAGTAAGGCAGTCCCATAAGATATCGCCATAGTCTAATATAGGTCGAATAAGAGTGTAGTACATAGTTTGGAGACTATACCTGTCCAAAGAGAATTTAAATTTACGTAAGATATTTATTTTAGGTGAAATCTTAGATATCAAATAATTGATGTGTTCATTCCAATGACCATTTCCAGAGAGAGAAAATACCTAAATGCTTGTGTGTAGCAACTTCAGGGATGTTAGTATTGTTCATATTTAAGGGAGGATGAAACGGTTTAATGGTTGTTCTACTAATGAGCAGGGTTTCTGTTTTGGAAGGGTTAAAATTTACTAACCATCTTTGCGACCAGTTATGAAATGTATTAAGGTCACTATTAAGAATATTTGCGCTGACTCTAGGAATATCAACGGTTACGTAAAGAGAGGTGTCATCAGCGAATAACTTTATTTTAGCTTGTATATCTTTAACAATGTCATTTATATATATATCAAAAATAAAAAAAGGTCCAAGAATTGAGCCATGTGGAACACCAGCCTTAACATTTTACCAATTTGATTTTTTTCCATTGATGACAACTCTCTGCTTTCGATCGGAAAGATAATTTTCAAACCAAACTAATAGCGAATTTCGAATCCCATAGCTGGATAATTTACAAAGAAGGCCTTTATGTCAAACTCGATCGAAAGCTTTGCTAATATCACAGAAGACCATACGTATTTCCTTACCATTGTCTAAGGCTAAATATATATCATGAATGATCGCAAGAAGTTGATTTGATGGTGAGTCACCGTGCCTAAACCCAGATTGATGGGGGGGATAGGAGGGAGTGAGTGTGCAAAAAATTGTAGACATTTGAAGACACATTTTTCCATTAATTTACCAACGATCAATAGCAGTGATATAGGTCTGTAATTAGTTAATATAGACTTGTTATCTTTTTTATGCACAGGGGTGACGTTAGCAAGCTTCCATTCAGATGGGAATAACCCAGATCTAATTGACCTGTTAAAGAGATTTCTTCAGGGGACACATATGATATTTACTGATTCTTTAGGAAGACGAGGATTTACCAGGTCAGGACCAATGGCCTTGGACAGTCAGTGGTAAGAATAGCATTTCTGACATCATTAGCTGTGATGTTAATATCAGATAAGGAATTATTGCATTCGTTGTTAATGTTAGGGAGATTTACATTGGAATCATCAACTGTAGACTGGGCACAAAAGAAGTCATTAAATAAGCAAGCTTTCTCAAAGTCATTTGAGACAGTGCTATTGTTAAGAAGCAATGGTGGTATACAAAATTTACCAGAGTTAGGTAATAGTTGCTTTACAGTTTTCCACCATTGTTTAGCACTGATGTTGGAAGGTTTGCGAAGTTCGCTATATAAATTAGAAATGTGTTAACACATTTGTTACGAATTCGACGAAACTTTGCCCAGTGAGCTTCAGTAAGGGTACGCTTGGCTTTTGTATGAACGCGCTTACGTTTACGAATTAATCTCCTTATTTCGTTTGATAGCCAAGGGGGTTCATTAGATCTGATGGTTATTTTTTTATTCGGAATACAAGATTTAGCAATAGTAAGTAAAATATCTAACAACTTTTTGACAGCATCATTAATATCATCAAAATCACTCAATAAATTCCAGTTAACTGAGCTGAGTTTTTCCTTAAATAAATCGTAATTTCCTAGGTCAAAAAGCCAAACGTTTCGTTTAAACAACTGCTGCACTGGCTTTGAAATATTAAAAGAACAGTAAATTGGACAATGGTATCGAACCGTTTGGTCAAGGAAGCTTTCTCCAACATAACAGTTATTAATAAGGTTATTACTACTAGTACAGACTATATGTAGGCTGGATGGTCTGTTTTACTGTAGGCTGGCTAGGTCTGTTTACTGTAGACTGGCTAGGTCTGTTTTACTGTAGGTTGGTTATGTCTGTGTTACTGTAGTCTGGTTATGTATGATAACTTACCTCTCGTAAGCCTGTTGGTATTGTCCTACTGGCATCAATATGTCGTACTCAACCAACATCATGTTGTCATTATTAGCTACCCCTAAGTTTGACGGAAGTGGACTGGATAGCACGACTGGATGAGCTGTAATCAATCACATTATAATAAAATCAAAGTGCCGAGGGCATTCAGGTATGCTGTGTGTGAGGGATTCCAATAATGGTATCAAGGAGGTGGTATATCAGTACAGAATGGCAGTAAATAATAAAGAACATGTTGTTGAGTAAGGGTGATAATAGCGCATCCCTTAATCATAATTTTCAATAAAACTATATATAACAAGCAGAATTATGCTAAAACAATTGAAACTTGTCTGATATTATGGTCCTTAATTAGTGTTTTAAATCGATGGAAATCCTTCAAGGAATGAAGCTGCTACAGTGCAGACAATGATCTTTTTAAAAATAGTAACAGTGACCTTGACCAGACAACCCTGCAAACCAAAATTGTCCCGTAAGATTATGGGAAAGTTTATTATTAAATAAATGAATAAATGTTATATAGATAATATAAATAAATAATTATGATATTATTATTACAATTTGTAATGATTATGATTAATTATACAAAAAAATAAAACGAGATTGTATTATTTCCAGTGGGTGTAATCACGGACTTATGCAAGTCCTTGTGTATCTCTCCTTCTCCCGATATTGTAACGAAGGTTAAAGACCTATATAATTATTCATTTTCTGGTTATTGTGAATAATATGTATATACAGTTTTAATTTTTGATGTTAAATATGCTATATTCACGAAGCGCTTGTATTATACTAACGGGTCATTATCTAGAGACTACTTTGGTATAAGTCAACATTCTCTTTCACTTGGAGACTTTCTATTGAGACAAAGAAAACACGAAGCCTACTTTATCAAGGACAGTTATTAAACAGTCGTTCAACAAGTCGCGAGCATGAAACTACGCAATGATGGACAAGTGGCGAAAACTCTTACACACACACTTTTGAGTATTGGAATACGAGGCGTAGTAATTTGAACCAAATATAGTTCGGAACTTTCACTGATTAAAAACACCACTGTTAAAGATCTTTACATATTTTCATGATTTTTTTTTGTCTTATACAGATAAATTTTACCATAAAATAGCATTGATAATATCATGAAATAATGAACACATTATCTAAAGTTCTTTCACCGAAGGAGATAAAGTGTTGGGTTTTTTTTGGGAAGAAATTATTCGGTCCAAAAAGCGTAGTAATCTGAGATTGATTTAGTTCATGATCCTCACTGAAAAAGCCCGTCTTTTCGTATTTTTTTAAAAAAAAAATATCTTTGATTTATTGGTCGATTTCATATGTATTTCATCATTTTATAGCATTAATCATACCATGAAATAATCAACACAGCATTTAAAGATCTTCCGCGGAAGAAGAAAGTCTGTTGTTTGGTTTTGATTTGAATGCTGTACACAGCATCCAAAAAGTTATAGAATATATTATCGAGTGTGTGGCTTGTACATGTAAATCTCCAACTCAATCTGAAGTTTTTGCAGGTTTAGTTGTTGTTTCTCACCCTCCGGCCTTATAATCCAGTAATGCTACATGTATGTTGAAGAAAACCGCCATGTCAAACCAGTGCTGTTAGTTTTATTACGTCTCTTCTATGATCCTTTTATGGAATAAGTAACCTGAGTACGATATTGTGACGTGTAGGAGAAAAACACACCCTAGAAACAGGAAAACCTTACTTCAAACACATTTTGTAATTTTAAATGTTAAGGTAGAAGCCTGTTACAGGCAATCACGCAATACAAAAAGCTGAAAAAAATACTGAAGAACCAACAAGACCGTTATTTAAACTCAAAATAAGGAAAAATGGGCAAAATATGAAACTGGAACAAAACATAAAGACCCTTGCAAAAAGTACAAGGAACATATAACAAGGTGTTTTGGGAGGAGGAACGTCTTCTGCTTCGTCGATTAACCCACCATTTTACTTAAGGTCAAATATAAGTCCAATTTATATCCAAAACACTGTATTTGATTAAATGATATTGCATTGTTATACTTTTTCATAAAAGTCCAACAAGGTTGAGTTTCCCCTCAGAAATGGTTGATCAAACCCACAGTCGGGCCGAAAAAAATCCAATACATTGTTACCTATTTTGGCAGTGATTAAGGTGTCCTGAAGTCGTTTTTCCGCCAAGGCGAGGTTCATTTTGATTGAATTAAAAGGAACAAAATTAAATTTCTTTGACGAATGACACAAGGTGTTTATAATAGTAATGTGACAAGAAAATACAACATATATTAAAAAATATTTCAACGGGCATTGATGTATTCCTACCAGGAGTATAAAATACACAGGAGTATTTTACAGGAGTATAAAATACACAGGAGTATTATACAGGAGTATAAAATACACAGGAGTATTTTACAGGAGTATAAATACACGGTACCTGCAGCACTGAAGATGAGCTCGTCAATTGTCTTTGGTGCACTTTCCTGTAAGGGAAAAGGAAAATCATAAACCAGGACCATCCATACCATAACAAGCTTTGCGCATGACCAGAATAAGTAAGACTTTCCTTTACCTTAAGTTTACAAATCATATTGATGTAAAGTTACTGTTTACAATTTCGATCTTGTGTTGTTCCAGGTAAGATTTTGTGTTCTTATTTTCATTTATTACCTGTGATATTTTTCTATTTCATAAAAAGCTTTTTTTTTCGAAACAATTAAATAATTTGAATATCAACTACAATAGAAAAGTGATATAAATTTAATGTTATTATTGTATATTATTTTTTACCTGTGTAATGGTTTCCAGAAAACGACGAAGGAGTCGTGATATAGGTAGTCCAGATTGAGCTTGTACGTGGCCCATAAGAACCATACATACGATTGTCCATACTTCCTTTGTGCAGTATGCTACAAAATAGAAATTCTAATATATGTCTGATGCTGTATCAAAATAAGGTATAACAAGTCGTACACGTAGTAATCTCACATACCACTTCCATGCATAGCTGTGCTGGAGTTATATTTTCCAATGAGGAATTTGAAATTACCAGTCCATGTAGCAGAGTGGTTTAGAAAGTTTAACAGTATTTAAATCCAGTCATCTGACATGCGCGGGTTCCATAACCGGCGTCAGAGGCAAGTTATTTCTGATCTCTTACCAGCGCTTTAAATCATTGTAACATATTGGTTTATCTCAGGGCATCCATGAGTAAATTATTAATTGTCTGCGACTTATATTTGGTGTATATTTTAACATAAAATGATATAAAAACGGAAAAGGTTTAGGAGTGACAAATTCGAAGTATCGCCTTTGTTCTTTTGTGACTTTTGAAAGGAAAACCGCAATGCATGCATGAATTACGGATGTCAATTCTGAAATGTCAGATCAATCGATAGATTTCACACTGTGCTCCACAGAAGCCCAGTGTCTTATTGTCTAAGGATATAGGAATTACTTTAGCGCTCTTTTAGACAGTAATTATCCCAATAAATCATCCTCTGCAAGCATACACTGTAGGCATCGCTCGAGCTTCAGAAACACAACCCTTGCATCGTACAATGATATCTTAGTTAAAAAGGTACAACAGTTTGCTACTTTCAAAAAACCCTTACATATTATTGTCGATCCTGTGAAGATAGTCTCTTACATAAACGCAATTTTGCAACAAAATTGAATTTTAGATAGATGACAAATCGATTTCAAAATCATAATTAATACTGTTACAATGAGTGTACAGCTATTTGATATGTTGCCCCATTTCCTCCTTTGTGGGACCCAGCACGTGCTGACACATAAATGAGATTTTAGTTTGACTGTGCTTTATAGCAACGTTAATGTATGTGTAACGGTAATAATTAATATACGCCTTGCACATAAATTACATGTAATTGTAAATATTTAATACATGAATGTTATGAAACGTTCTGTTTTAGTGACTTCATACAGTCTAGCCGGTCTGATTGAGTAGCTCCCGAATCCTGATTTTGGCAATTGTCACAAGTTCTTTATGATTCTCCCGAATTTCCAAGTTACATCCTCTTACTGGCGATTAGTGAATCTTAACCTTTTTTATAATTCATTACTTTTTTCTAGATTATTTGTATATGACACATGTATATCGCTTTCATTACTTTCATTGTTTGCACTAAATAAACAATGTTTAATTCAATCTCAATTTCTGTTTACTCTCTTTAAAGGATTGTGGGACCGGGAAGACAGTGGCTCATACAATGTAACAATGAACCCGTTCTCATGCTCAAACACAGATTAATTCTTGGGCGCTCTCCCTCTGTTACATCACATTTACATCTGTATCTGTAATTGGACATGTAATTCGGGGAATTATACCCCCAATTCATTATATGCTTGTTGTTGTATTTTTATTTTTTGCAATCATAACCAGGTTGTGTGCCTGCCGGAAAGCACCCCCTTTAAGTCACGTACATTTCTTAATCCTGGTTTGCATTTTGGTAATCTAACATAGTTCTAGGGTAGATGACTATAGGGCGTGCTAAGCTAGTCATAGTATAACTGTGTCTGTTGGGGATCGCCCTGTAAACCATGTTCTTACTTATACTTTGAACACAAAGGCACCGGGGTCGCTCGATGCCTGTTTGCAGGGCCGCCTGTTAGCTACTCGCTCCACAGCTTGGGATCGCTCAAGCCTTGGGGATCACGCCACAACTTATTTTAGTCACCAGCTTGAGATCGCTAAAGCCGGGGATCGCCCACTCTTCTTTTAAGTTTAGTGTGATGTTTTAATTTACTTTTACTGTAAATAGATATGTTTGTAACCAACTATGTTGTAGTTAGATTAAGTAACAGAGAGCAGCCCCTAAGAATGGCAAAAGATAATTAATATAACCTGAACAAGTTACTTTAAATTTAGACTCAATACATTTTTGAACTTTAACTTTTAATTGTTGTGTATAAATCTCAATGCATAATAAGAGAATACCGAAGTGTCAGCAAAATCATTATTCTAACTAAACATCGATAATAATCGGGAAAATTAGGAATATTGGATATATTTTCATTGACAGCCTTTGAATGGTACAGTAAGAATAAGACCAGGTGTTCAGGAAAGGTAAGTGTCTTGTGCTTCATCGTCGACATCCGTCATGTCAATCAAACCAAAGTAACGAGTAAAGTCACGTCCTCATATCACAAGGCACTCAAAACAATCGACATTTGTATCACACAAAGACACAGCATCTTTTCGTGCATGAACCTGTTGGCGACGATAATTGTTTTGTCCAGATTCTTCATCAGCCTGCATCGTCGAGATCTATCTAGGAAATAATGATATTCGGGGCAAACTGTTGTGTACTGAATTCTATTTTAAATATGTAAACACCGTAGAAGGGGTGTCATTGTCAAGAAAGGGAAAGTTCACAATCGGAAAATCGAGATCAACCGCTTATGATACAGCTTAGAAGTAAGCCGTTCCTGTTGGTCATGTCGGAGGAATCGATAGAAGTAGAGGAGTCTGTGGTGTCTTTAATTTCAGGATCTGGATGGTTTATACAATCGATGTGGTCAATTAATTTGTTGTTATTTAAAGCATATCTGTAGTGTTTAGATCAGTCCTTATCCGGATGATAGTTGTCCCGTATAATCACTGGATATTGTCGTGTACATGTTTGAGTTTGCGCAGAGTGTTGTAATAAACCTGTGAAGCAGCATGGTGTGTTTCATGCAGACTGTCACCTCATGTCAGGGTATTTAGCGGTTCAACAAGTATTTAGCAGATGTCACAATATCATCGATATCTCTTGCGGACTTGGGTTTTGTTACCGGTCCTGATAAGCTCATCAATAAATTAAGCTTCATATGAAAACAAAAACAAATCGGCCATAAGAGGGACTCAGTTTGTTTGCGCATCAATGCCTACAGTTTGCTGGAAACTTATGCCACCTACCTCAACAAAGATATGGTCAACCATAAACTCAATCATTATCACAAAAGCGGCCTAAGTATAGTTCCGTTTAGCCTTTGTTGTACTTTTCTCAAAAATTCTCCAAAATTATTTTCAATAACAGCAACATTGCAAATTTAAAAATAAAGAAAAAGCTGAATTTATTCGGATAACATTTTAAGCTGAGTCATGAGACACGTGCTATTTTCATTACGATATTGTAATAAGCTGATTCATCAAAACGACCAAGAAAGGAAACATAACTCGTTAATGTTTCTGTCTGGGTGAAAGATCTATCGACAAACATACTAGACCTGGCAGCACTGGTCCCTTTGATGAACGTTCTAGAGATAAAGTCACATGTCATTTTCAATGGCACGCCGATACATTTATGTATTTAGATTCAAACTGTATCAACGTCACCTTGTCGACGTACGTGATCATTCAACAATTTACTTTATCATACGCTACAATCGATAACGACACTGCGCTTTCCTTACACATCCTCCTTATAAACCTAGTTTCATCACTATTTAAATACGAAAATACCATCCTGCTTTAATTTGTTATTAAAAGATATTATGCACTAAAACAAATATTAACAGAAGTTGTAGGCTTTACTCATTACAATTGGCTATAACCTTTAATGAATCTTAACAGTTGTGAATTTTACAGCGAATAGAAAACATTCCTTTGGTAATTGTAAAACATGTCTCGTTTTGAAAAAAACAAATAATATGTTTTTGGTATCCCTCAACACGAAAACTAAATAGATTATTGATTAAAATGTTCACAAGACTACTCTGCAAAAAGGATAACGGAGAATAAGATTGATTAAATATGGACAATTTACATTCTCGTAATGATATGTAATATCATTATAAATAATCGACTCCCCAGTGACATGGAGTGAGCGCAAAGATAGGTTGAAGGAGATACAAAAGTGCGCTAGATTTAACTTCAAATAAAATGAATACGTATAAATATTTCTTTATAAAGCAATGACATTATAGTCCTATTAATGTACAAATGGCCGTAAAGAAACTCATACCATGTATATGTTAAATATTTTAATGATGACAGAAATACTTGTGATTTTAATGAAAAAGCACACTTTGTGATAATTTATGAGATTTTGTTTCAGTGTATATTGTTAATATAATATAATGTCTCGGTGGAAACAGACATAAACTGTATTGTTTACCTTGACTATGGTTCGTCATCATCATCCAGCCTCGGCGAGCTCCCACAAACCTCGTGCAGATACCAGAAGGTCACACAATCCAAGCCGTTAGTTTGTCTGCCATCACTGAGTCGATAATGTCTTATTCCAATCACGATATAACCTCACTCAATCACAGGGAATGTTTTATCATTATATGCTAACATGTACAGTAACTTATTCATGCTGTAAGGCATTTTATATTTACCCTAATATTACAAATTATATGATTAGTTAATAAGATGTTACCACATTATACAAAATCGTCACGTAATTATACAATTATGCTTACTACATAAAAAATAAAATAATTAAAAAGTGTAATTTAAAATTTAAACGAAATAATCGTGATCAGAAATTTTATCTGACGATTGTCAATGTGCTTGCTGAATTAAGTAATGTACAGAGCATACAAATGTCAATGTAACAACAACGGAACACGATGCTATAAAATGCTACTGTATGTGATTTCTGTTTCCCGGGTTATGGATGTCATACCATATCTTGTCAAATCTAGGGAAAGTTTGCCTGTCACTTACAATGAAAGACATAGCCAATACGTCTGTGACACTTGTCGACACTGACGTATCGCAGATGGTAATCAGGGCATCATTTCACTACTGAAGCATCCGGAACATCCACTGTAAGCCATTAAGATCATAGTCTAGGTGATTACTACCGACACAAGGAAAGATCATCATAAACAATTTTACCATAGAGCGTTTATAGTAACCTGGTCATTGTTACCTGGTCAGTTATTCACCCAAATTACCAAGAATGTAGCACCGGCACCAACGTTAAATATTGTTTGAAGATGTAGAACCTAAGCATTTTACTGCAACATATATGGACTTTTTCCACGTACGAATTGTTCAATCATCAGGGTTCAAAGAACGAAACAACTACTAGACATAGTATGTCTCAATGTAGATATAGATGTAGAATACAGCAATATTAAAGGTTCCTATATAACAACTACTAGTATGTCTCAATGTAGATATAGATGTAGAATACAGCGATATTAAAGGTTCCTATTTAACAACTACTAGTATGTCTGAATGTAGATATAGATGTAGAATACAGCGATATTAAAGGTTCCTATATATAACAACTACTAGTATGTCTAAATGTAGATATAGATGTAGAATACAGCGATATTAAAGGTTCCTATATAACGTACTCAGAAGAAAATGTAAAGAAATCAACAATTGTGTAAACCATGGTTATTTTAATAGAATAATGTGGAAAAAACTAGCAAACGCTATAATAATGATACTTTATAGGCATTGTAAAAAAATATGGCCTCCTGAAAACACCTGAATTTTTAATTATTCCGCCGATGGAATCCTCTATCTTGATACCAGCTTAAAAATAGCATTTGTCTCATGAATCGTCATAACATTTGTATTTGAGACACCACTTTACTAAATAAAATACAAAAGACATAAAATCTTTGATGCTCATCTATTTAATTAGGTCATATATATAACATACTACAGATATTCTATAACAACATCATATTTCATATATAACCAAAATCTTCAATTTAGTATAATTTTGGCATTTGATAGGTTAAACAATTCTTATTCATTAGAAAACAAAATAAAAATATGTTATGCAATACAAATTTTAGTTAATTCATATTTTACACACACCCCTCTTCCCATTCCCCCCCCCCCCCCTCTCAAAATTAGCTAATTAGCTAATGCACCTTACATCTAACCATTTGCAAGCAGCATATCACATTTCAATTAATTCCAACTCAGTGGTGTGGAAACATTCTAACAATCATGACAAAAGCCCAGTTACTGTGTCGATCGACACAAAGAAAGGTGCTGTTGATCCTGTAATAATTGTGATCTAGCGTGTCTACATTTTGAAGCTCCACTGCCCCTTCCCCTTCATCTTGCGACTCTGTCACATCTTTAAGTCCTCCCTGGCCTTTCCCAGTCTTTCTTTTGCCTTATTTGTTTTGAAATACGCCTTTTTGTTCGATTTACCCATTTGTTTTGATCGCTCAAGATTTTTGTCGTCTGTCAATTCGACAACAATGGCGCCGAAAATGGCGTTGACTACGTCGTAAAACACTTCAACCTATTTGATCTTTTCGTAGTTATTCAAACACATTTACTTATGAAATTCCAATTTATTGGGTCATATAAATAACAGCTGCGGAATAAAATGTTGTTTACGTCCTGTCAAATTGCAATAAGAGTTACCTCCCGTAGATCGTGCCGATTTCAGACAAGAAAAGCCCAGCGCACTACATCTTTAGATAGCTTTACAAACTTACATATTTAGGCTACGCTAGACCACTGTTGCTTAAACTAGTATTTTACGTAAACCGCTCCAGAATAAATAAAGTAATTGACATGAAGCCAAGGTGTATGTGGTATATAAAAAAATTGAGGTACATGTACAACGAGACAAGATAGAACTAAAGCATTTAGTAACATTTATCTCCATTCAACAGTCTTTGAAAATCTAGAGAAAAACAAAAAACACTTGTCATCTACTTTTTTTCGGAAGAATTACTTGTTGACCATCATACACTTGATAGATTAAGAGCATGAAAATAATGCATGTATTACATAGTACCATGAACAATCGTCTACTATGTATTGTATTGTTATTAGCACCAGAACTATCACTAATCTAGAATATGTTGAAAAGGCTCACAGCCTTGTCTGCCTTATTACAAAAACGATTGGCAAAATCATTGACAGTTATCTAACTTGGTTTTTTATAGCTTGTATAACACAACACTATTGTATATTGAAGGTATAATAACCACAATGTAAAGCTAATCATACTTTCATCACCAGACTACAGCTGATATGGCCGACCTTGTCTCACCTGCTACTCTGGTCTACCACGGGTCACCTGTCAACCATAGACATAGTTATCGTAGATATATGGCTTGGACATTGACTTGTACTTGGCTTTCATTGTTAGTGACAGCATGGTGTTCCGTTGTTGTTATATTGACATTTGTATGCTCTGTACATTACTTAATTCGGCAAGTACATTGACAATTGTATCGTAAATATATGGCTTAGACATTGACTTATATGTACCTTTTTATAACACTAGCAGGGAGAGAAATAAAATGTTGTTAGCGTTCAAACGACGATTACATATATTCAAACACATATAAGTTTATCTTAACACTATTAATGAATTTTGAAGTAAATCCAGCTTCGTCTGACGTCACGGTGTAGAGCACGGCTGTTTTGGCATCACCTTATTTTAATATTTACTAGCATAGCTCTTGTTTTGCGTAAGATTTAATTCATTATTCATTGAGTTATTTACAATGTGCAAATAATAAATATCTAAAAAAATCATAAAAAGATTTGAGTACATTGTTTTAACCTTGGATATTTAATCAATTACAATTTTCATCGTTGTCCAGTAAATCTACACAAACTATAGTTATTTAAATAGACATCTACATTAATTGCATATAAGTAAAATGTTAGTGACATAATTATGTCCAATGTGTAATAACGATTCTTTTAGAATCAATACATTACTAGTTTGAACGGAGGAATCTGCTTATGTAAAGACATATCAGACATACCTGTATTTGCCTCGGTTTAATGCCATTTAGTCTGAGGTTTCATATATTCTAGAAGCCTTACCTTGAAAATATTGGCAGCGATTTTTTGGGGCGTGGTTCTACAGAACAGGACCTCAAAACAAAAATGCAAAAAAATCAAAAACTGGTAGGATTTCTATTAATTCTATAGCCATGTACCTGGTCTACATGGGGATGTAGAGCAAGTACATAATAAAGGAGAACTTACTCAAAGGTCACCAAATACCAACGGCTGTAGTTGAAAAGTCTGGAAACAGTGAGAAGGAAGCAAACAATTTTAACATGATGATTGTTTTTAGTTTCCTCAAAACGTATCATTATATCCGGTGTGACAGTTGTAACGTCGATGAGTAAGCCAGCTTTCACATCTCCTTCTTTACCCAGTTCATTTGTATTAGCGTATCCTGAACCTTGACAAGTTACCTACAGATTACAAACAGCCATTAAATATGGGCTGCAATACTTTAAAAGGTACAATATAATATGATGTGTAGGGTTCCTCTCGTTCCCTACGTTACGGTTACTGAGAGTAGGGTTATTTAAGGGTGATACATTTTCTCCAGAACACGGACAGTCATAGACAGAATAGTGGATGACCAGGGAGGTAAACTGGTAACATATACATAGAATCTTAAAACGATGAACGATGACCATTCACACATTGTGGTATGTCCTTTTATTTCAACAACAGCTGTTTAACTAAAAAGAGCACTATAATAACTACAGAAAAACGGGAGGTTTTATAGTTCGCGATCAACTATTGCTCTTGTCGGGAATAAGTGTACAACAAGGCTTACTGTTTTTGTTCCAGAATGAGGGGGAATGGATATCCGAAATTTCTGAAACGTGAAGCGAATCGATATGATTGATTTTTCAAGATTTCATAATGAAGAAGGAGTCTTAATTTTAACATACTGGTAGAGCAGTGGACAAAGCGGACATATTTAATGATACAGAATGCTACTGAATAGCTTACAAGCCTTCCGACCTTCTAGGTAAACTCCAAGTCAGAACCGTGGTAGTGACAATGAACTAACATTATAAGGAAAGTAAAATATCGACCGTGAATCAACTACGTTAGGTGGGAAAGCAGGGATGTTACTGTAAAAAGGGAAAGTTGAAAATGTAACACTTATACATTTTGTAATACAGGTTAGAATGGAGTCTTCCCTGTTTGTCATGTTGTAAGTAAATATTGATGTAAGCAGCTGATGTAGATGTTGTATGCTAGTGTATTTACATGGTCGTACAAATCCAATCAGTATTTTGTTAATAAATGTTACCTCGATTGCACATTTGACGGTTTGTATGCTGCTTGTCTTTATGTGGTGTCATACCAATGACTTCAGAAATATAACTCATGAACATTTTTTTCTTCAGAGACAATACTTTTGCAAACTCGTTGAAGTGCATAGTAGCATAACGTTTTTAAATTACGAAAGGATACTGTCAATCTGTTTTGTATAACAATTGCTTTATTGTATATGTAACAACATTTAAAACATTTACGACACAAAACTATTGCACCATTGCAAACCAAAAAAAAAAAAACATTTTCTGTTTATCGTGGATGGAAGTAACAATGTTTCGAGTTTATATACTATGAGGTAAGACAGACGTTTAAAACTCGATGATTGTCGGAAGGATAATTTCCTGTACAGCTCGTTAGATTATGTAACATGAATGTTTTATTTAACCGCGTCGCAATACCAAAACAAAGTAAAATATAACGTGTATTTATGCGATTCAAATCGGTGGTTTATAATCGACACAAAATTACAAAACGTAAAGGTGGTTTTGCGATTACTTTTTTAAAAGACATAATAATAAATTATTTGCACACCAACAAGACCAATTTCGGTGTCATTAAAATAAATATTTTTGCGTAAACAATATGCATATAATATCTTTTCCGAACACTAAATTGAACACAATCAAACATATTATCGATTTTGAGATCAATGACTTATATAAATAATAAAGACGTTTTTTATCATTTGAAATCATTTTGTTGATAATGACATTGTTTATGGAAAGCGGTACGGATATTGAGGACAGCTCGGTCTGGGTGGAGGGACACGCGGACAGTCGTACATACGGCGGATACGCCTCTGGTCGAGGGAACTCATCAGATTAGATCTCCCAACCCTTGCTAGATTGCTGGCTGTGTTCCGTGTAGGATATATGGTGATCCTTCTGTTGTTTGTAAATACCTGAAAACGAAAGTCAATGTCGTAACGTCATGAATTCACTACATTATACCTACACTGTCATAACATAATATATATAGTTACGATATGTAACATGTCTACATGTAATATAAACTAATGTCACATCATTACAAATTCTAATCCCACGTCAACAATTCTGAAATAGTGAAACAGGTTTTAGCTTTGCATATTCCAGTCCACAAATTTACAAAACAAGAATTCCACGGAAGTGGATGTGTCGCCTGCGCAGGAAGCTGGGAGATTGTGCTTAGCACTGCATTAAGTTAGAGTTTGATCGGCCCAAGGAAACTCAAGTTATCGCACGAAAACAGATTTTCTATTTATAGTGACCTTGACCTTTGACCTTCGGACCTGAATAGCAATCCCAAGCAAGCACTTTTGGTATGGAAGCACTGTATGAAATCTGTGTTTGATCGGCCCAAGGAAACTCAAGTTATCGCACGAAAACATATTTTCTATTTATAGTAACAGTGACCTTGACCTTTGACCTTCGGAACTGAAAAGCAATCCCAAGCCAGCTTTTGGTAAGGAAGCAATGCATGAAGTTTGAGTTTGATCGGCCAAAGGAAACTCAAGTTATCGCACGAAAACCTCTGTGCGGACGCCGCCATAGCAATACCTATGGGTCACCAGCCTTTCGCAGGCGACACAATAAAGTGGTCAGATTCGCTTTGTTTGCCTTTATATTAGAATATTAAGAGAATTTCAAAGTTTTTCAATTCTATTTGTTGTTATTGGAAATTCACTTTAGCTCGTGCAATAAATTAAATCAAATCAGAGCTTGTTGTCCCATTTTTATCGTTTAATCGCTCCCCGTGGAAGAGATGATAATTGAAAAAAAAATGTTTTAATACTACCAAAAGATATAGCAAAATAATTCTTTATTATTAACGCGAGAGAACACAAAGATGACATCCAATCCAGTTTCTAAAGGTATTCGCTTAACATGAATATGACTGATTTGCAAAAATAGTAGTAAACAAATCTCATGCTTTGCCTGCCGTGGAACAGGGATCGTAAACTTTATATTGTGTTACAGAATATTTAACTCACCCATGGTCCGTAGTGCATTAAGCTTTTGTAGTCATACGGCGTTGTCCTTTGTATATTACTATATCGGACCCACGGTATGCGGTTCATGTGGAACCAATGATCTGGGGAAATGTTCCGGTACAGTATTCTTACATACCGGTTCCGGTCTGGTGCGGTGTGTTCGTGGTATAAACCAAGAGTATGTAGGAGCTGGTGAGTAAACACTCTGGTCTGTAATGTTAAAACATAGTTCTGTTATCAGATTCTAAAAAACAAATCTTGTTTCTTATTTATCAATACGTTACTCATGTACAAGATCTTCTGCATTGATGTTCTATGTGATTTTTTATTGTTTCTGTGATTGACAAAGATACTTAGTGAAGGGACTAAAGAGTGAACTGTGACATATATCAACCAAAGAGTTCATGTTTACTAATAGGATTTCTTCAGGATCATACAGATGCTTACATACTATAATGGATGCAAACATTCTAGTGATGTAAAGAGTTATATTAAAAGGTAGTACTAAATGCCGACCGAGACTCATAAACATATAATATACAATAATTTAAACTTGCTTGTAAATAGCATTTTCATTGGCTCAAAAATGTATGTTATCAGCCCATAACGTAAAAAATTACGTCGCCGTTTGTAACGTCGCTTTTGATTGGCTGATACTGCAGCGCAATAATTTCTAAGAGAAAAGAGTCCATCAATAAAAGTGGATTTCCACAGGGATTGTGATTAGTAGATTAAGTTATAAGGATTAACTATATTCAAGTTAATCCTTAAATATCGTCCGGGAATTAGAAGAACGTGCTCTTCCTTTCATTGACAAATTAGTGTGGAATAAGATACAATTGCATTTCCCAGCATTATCTTTACCCTCACATAAAGCGTCATATACGTACCACAAAATCTTTGCACTTGTTGCACTGAAACTATCTTTCTCAACTCGAGTACATTCCATTTTCTCCTACTAAGAAATTTTGTTTGTAAACAACTTCACTTTAGTATCAGGGATCGAATTTCTACAAGTCTTAAAATCCTTGTCATTGACTTACACTTCTACACATAGGGGCCATCAAAAGATCCTGGTATCGCTGACGTCCAGATCGGCGGATGTTTCTCCCAATAAACGATGCACATCTAAATCATACAACAGTCATTTGTTTATTGATATATATTACTGAATTTATTAAAAACAAAATGTCTGTATAGTTTACACTTGATCTATGCTTCTTACGATCTTACAATCTGGATATCAGCAATATGTTAACAACATACTCTTGTGAACTGACAATTAAACAACCAGATACAGATTAATTAATGATCGATATAAAAGACGAAATATGATTAATGCGACGAACAAAAATGAATATATCTTTTGGTTTAAACACAGCAGTCACTAATTCATCTTAAGAAAAAAATCGAAAATGGCTTATTATTGAATGATTATTTGAGTAGAATATAGCGTAATATAAGCACACCTCCTCCTGTTTCTGATCCGGACGTGTGGTGCACCAAGACTTGCTTGAGTCTTGGTGACAATTCTAAAACACACACAAGTGTCACGGGAGATACGGTTCATGGCAGTCTGCATCCGTCTCTTTTGTCCACGAGCTAGAATTGTCACAAAACAAAGTCAGGCACTTTATTTACAGGATTTGTCAAGGAAACATGTATATAACAACTCTATTTTTTCAGTTCAACTAAATCTAAAACGCAAAACTCTGTATGCAGAAAACAAATTCATAAAAAGATAAAGAAATTCTGTACTTGGTTCATGCACCTGCTATTTACAAATTTATCAGACAACACCTTGAAGTCTTTAGACATTGATGTTGCTTACTAAAGCCGCCGCTTGATATCCTGATAGGTACGATGCCACCTGGCCACAGTGAGACAAGACGTGGGTCAGGCCTTGGTCTCCTCCTGGTGGCCCACTGTGTCCTCCTGTAAATAATCAATAGGTGTAATTCCTATACAAATGATATCACAACGACGTTACAAAGTCAGTGGCAATGACGACATATTGATGAAGATGATGGTATCACACTGTGGCATCACGACACGACTGATATCACGATCACGCAAATATAGTGATGCTGACATCGGAACAGAACAATGAGATTCGAGGCGCTATCATCCATTTCTAATACTGAACAGATTCCTTATTTGATTTGCAAAACTCCTCTTTTTATTTGAAAACATTCCAATCCATGAATGTACACGGTATCACTCTAATTATAAATCATTTATTACATACTGCATTGATTCATAGCTTCCGATGCAACGCAATATTGTGGATATATAGATATAAAAATGTGTGTCAAAAATAGCATCAACACTAATGCATTCCTTTAACAATCAAAATTCACTCCAATCTAATATATAAGTCTTTAAAGTGTTGAAGCCCTCGGTCTGATATTGTGTCCTCGGGCTGATATGGCATGTGATATGGATTTTACCATGTCATATTCTCTATACATTAGAATATACATCTCATAAGTTTTTTTAATAGAAACTTTCAAAAGATATTTAATTAAGATGACACTGCATATTGAATAATAGAACAAACTCAAACAAAGTTCGATCATATATATGAATGTAAAACGACTCTCATTTATTCAAATTCTAACAATCATTCCTCGGTAACTCATTCCTTATTTATACACGGTCAAATTAAGCATCCTTTATTTATGTACGGTCTTAACTATGTCTGATGCTCCCTTATTTAAAAGTTTCTTTATACGCCTGTTCTAGGAATCCTTCATAAAATGATGACATTGGAAATATGATGTAAGCAGTTATTCCGTCTTTGCGTATTGCAGAGTTATCTTCTCTTGGGAGCAGGTATTGATTGTTACGTCATTGGTTTGTGTGAGAAAATTACGTCGTTTTCTCAAAAATTGATGACGGTACTCTCACAAACAAGTGACGGAACATTCAATCCCTTCTCCCAAGAGAAGATAAATCTGCAATACGCAAAGACGGAATAAGGTAGAACTTACAATTCTTTCTGAATGGTATTGTATTGTTTAATGTTCCATATGATGTCTCCTTCTGCTATAACTGTACCGGCTGGTGCAGCAATGGTGGCCGATCTAAAGATACGTGGACCTAAAACACAAAATCAAGGTATTAAAATACGAATTCAATTCTCATAGACGAATAATAAATGATAAAATGATAAATAAATGAATAATCTTTCTTTAACGTCGACAACCTTGTCAACAACAAACATAAGCTCTGTAGAGCTTTTATTACGACGCCGCTAATGGAACAAATGTTGTTTTCATGATGGAGAAAAACCCACGGGGGAAAAACCACCTTGCCATCGGAGGGATAGCAGTTACCCCTTTCAGACATCCCTGTCTGTTTCCGCCACCGCTGGAGATCGAACCAAAATTATATGGAAAGTGAGTGGTCTGAAGCTCACGCTTGATTGCACAGTGTAGTGATGACTGTGCGCGTTAGCAATCACGGCTGCCGAGGCACCCATCATAATCATGATCATGATGTCAAAACGAACATAGATGGAGGTAGTCCAATATGCGATAGTGTTAAAGTTCAAGTTGTTTAAACATAGATGTAGTCTTACATACGAAATTACCTCCCATCGGGTTAAATGTATACACTTATTTCAAGACATGAAAGTGTTTATCTTCATGTCAACTTTTGGTAAGTTGATCATTTCAAACGAATTTAGTAGGTTAGTATTTAACAGGCCATTCAATCTAGTCAGTATTGTAATTGCTGGAATTCTGTTTATTTAGCGCGCACTAAATGTGCCCCTTCCCCATTGCAGATGATGGACACTTCACGGGAGATAATAAGTTACCAAATCACTTTAGGAGACACGGTGTTCTAGTGGTAGGACGCCGGGTTCGTGACCGAATGGTTGCGGGTTCGAGTCACGGCACGGCACGGCACTGTTACTCAGCTTGTTACAGTCTACTCAGCTGTAAATGAGTACGTGGTTGGGTATTGCTAGAATTGTATAATGTTAGCTGTGATCGCCGAAATGGCAACACCGCCTGTATGCTCCCCATGGAGTTGCGAAAGATATTAGCTGATTGCAAAGGCCATATAACCAACCCGGAACCGCGGATAATAATCTGTGAACCGCTTTGAGACGATCTTCTACGAACTAGGCTGTGATAAAGCGGTATTTAAGAACATCGAATTAAAATTATCACTGAAATAAATATCTGGACACGCTTACATGGCATTTATTTAGGTCACACTGATTACAGAACGAGCTTAACATAGGACCTAAAGCGAACCTCCCATAATTACTGAGTGCCCAATAAATTGAATTGAATACATAAAAGAATACCTCGATTCTGCGTCAACACAAAAGGACAAAAGACCTTGAAGTACCGACACGGAAATACGACAACAGTGAACCCCGTAAAAACGACAGCAAAAGAGGCAACCCATAAACAACATCACTGTTTTAACTAGACAGTGTCCTCTGTCTGTCTGATCAATCCTGATAAAAGTGTGACAGAGATACCGCCAGCCTTACTTACAATACCAATAGGAAAAAATACGGATCTTACCAATAGCAGCTTCCATTTCCTCGTTTATGGTACTCATTCCTCCTGCATATTGGCTTACACTCAGAGCTTGCTCTGGAGCAATCTGTGTATTACAAGTTATTCAGATAGTTATCGAGGTTATTAAAATCAATGCGTCTTAAATAAGTACAATAATACACTTGAACAAACGAAGGGATAGCTGAAAGATTATTTGAGAAAAATATTTAATGCTTTGCCAGACATCAAATGATTATCCATCATCATGTTCACCATAGTGTTTCTTTGAGAGTCAAACGTACTGAGAGACCCCCAGCCATCTAGTGGAATATAAAATCAACAAATAAATGAATTCCATGACTAGAGCTAGAACCGTGGCAAAACGACAAATGCTGCATTGAATTCACTTTCGGAGTGGGTTAAACCTTTCAGGTCAGCATTCACTCTTTACTCTTTCACAAGTAAACAGCTTGAAATAAAAACCAACGCAGGTCTACATGTTTGACCCCAAAGTCCAACCTCACTCTTCATAATAAGTATGCAAGAAGCCGAAACTCAACTATTATTTAAAAATTCTGAATTTGAATAAATCACCCAGTCCAAAGTTAAGTCAGGCGACAGACAGACAGTAGAAAAGTCAGAATAACTTATATACATGTAGGTGGCGACACAACAGTTCTGCATTCAGCGCTTCAAGGTATCAACAACGCTTAAACTCATAGTTGATATGACAGGATTTCTTTCAAATGATTTAAATTTGATAGCAAGTTGGTATACTTTGTTAAGAACAAGGCCTACTAAATTAAAATAAGTAATAAAAGGAATTTCATGATGCGTTTTTGGATTATGTTACAAATTCTAGCACATATAACTCCATTTTGTCGCGTGGGATTGTCTAGACAGGCTAGCGATAAAACCATCTAGATCAAGTATTGTTAGCTTGATGCGTCGCTTGGTTTTCGGGTGGTTTTTGTTCATAAAAAAGGTAATAAAACAGAATATCTAACAATGTCTTCAGTATTTTGTTTGTTTATTTTTTTTTTATTACTAAAGACATTGCTAAATATCCTCTATTTATTTAATTTTTGGCATATATATTTAGTTCTGGAATGAAAAGCGTTTACCGTACAACCTACATATAGCTGTTAGTCAAAATATCAGTATATGTTTTAAATGATTCCTAATTATCTTTATCATGTAGGTATAACATATGATACTGTAGAAAATAAAGGTATAATTTGTAATTCTGTGTATCATTCAACAATACAATAGATAAGATAATTTTTTTGTATATCGTATAGTTTCTTATCATTCAAACTATCTTCTTCGTGTATCACTGATTTATCAATTTCCGTCTGAATAATAGATAAGATAGGTGGTCATTATGTCGACATTATTTAATTAATAAGTCATAAATCTATTTAAACACAATGAACAATTAATTGGTGAAGCGTCATTAATTATGATCAATTTATATTGGTAACCATGTTAATACATGTATACCTATGCTTAACACGGAATCGATATGTCATTTATACTAATCGATATCACCAAATCAACGTCGCAGCAATCAACAAAGAAATTAAAGTTACTTACTTGATAGGCCTGCTTTTGACCGACCAATTTGACCTTTGTATAGTTTTGATTTTGTTTGTAGAGTGATTCCTGATATGAGTTTCATTGTGTATTTGCTAAACATGCCATTTGTAGAATTGTTGACCATTCTTTGAATATCATAAATGTGTATCATACCACCCAAAATACACCAAATATTTGTTATAATCATCACTAAATAATTCAGAATTTGCAATAAAAGTTAAAGCTAACAATGAAAGCATCCCAATTTGTGTTTACCTTTTCTCTTCTTGTTCCAACGTTAATGAATTCCTGCTGAACCGGACCGGTACCACCGATGTGAGTCACTTGACCTGCGGGCGCACGTGATAGAAGAGTACCGTCACCGCCGCTCGTTTGACCAAAACTAGCAATAAGGTCCCCTTCTGTACTACGAACAGTTTCCCAACTATTGCCTAATACGGACCCTTGACCGAGACTTTGACCTAAGTTATTCGACCCGATAGATCCAGCAGTTATTACTGCTGCCTGGGCTGGGCGTAAATTTGATGCAGACTGAGTTGGATATGCTGCTGCTTGACCATCATGAGACTTTGCTAACTTCCATGAGTGTCCGACATCACTGGACGTCGCTACGGTGAATTTGTGACCAGGAGCCCGGATGTAGAACGTCGCCGATACACAGCTGCACACAAGCAGCAACATGTGTCCGGTACAAAGATGACTCCGCTGTCAACAGTAATAAATACTTTATTAACAATGTGTACTATTAATTAGTATTAAAGCTTAAGTCGTCGTTCAGACCTTAGTTCGTATTCAAATAAAAAGTTCTGTTTGAAAGTCAAATAATTTCTTGAGACGTTTAGAATGTTTAAATGACGAAATGTGCATTACACATATAATCATATTGTTTATTACACGTTTAATCAGTACAAGCATGATTACGAAGTTTTAAACTTTCTGGTGATAATTAAAATAATCAATATGATAATTTACAATAATTGTGTAATTATCGATCATATTATTTTTCACAAGAATATATATACAAAGTTTGAGGTGATGATATCTGTAACAATGTATCATACGGGTAGTGTGATGTAAAACCTAACACTCCTGGTGTCGTCTAGAACTAAGGGTATTAAAGGGGGCCACTTCCCGTATCTTATATGATCAACAAGTCATTGTTCAATAGAGCGTTTCATTGCGTCATAAAAAGAGTTAAATACACGAAAACACATAAATACAACATACAAAAGATATTTTTATACTAAAAAATTCCGATGTTTTTCTTTTTAAATTAGCTCTAATGGAGATAATCCCTGGTCCGTGTAGTAGTACGCCAGATATGACGTTAGTGTTGTTCTGTTGTCTTACCATGGTGTGTTTGGTAAAGCCGACCGTTCTAGCCTCAACCGATCAGGGTTGACTGCTCGCCGTCCTGGGCTACATGTACGAGTGTGAACCATTCCATTAGCCTTGTTATATACTCAGCACACATATAACGTATAAAAACAATTAAACAATTGATGACAGCTTCTAATAATTATTAACAAAGTGTCACGGGAACATTAAAATACAGATTAAAACGTCTGATATGGGTATATTTAGTACAATAAGACATTTTAATGTAATCAGTTTGTACAAGTGATGCATCAACGGCTATAATTGTAATTATAAAATAGCAGGATGTGTTATCATCATGTTCTCTGAAAGAACCGATCTGAATGCTACATGCGAATGTGACATATATTCTTAATATCGGCACAAGGAAGCGACTCCTCATCTCTGAGAGGTAAAAGCTTTTACATTAAATCAAATGAATAAAGAAAGATGTAGTCGTTTGGTTAAACATAACTGAAGTGTCGATTTTTATCAAAGCTTGTAGATAATCAATGAATATTTTTTTTATTCATCCTTCCTATTTCATTCGAGTTTCTAACCCATTATTAACTACAGGAAGTGTATTTATTTGAAGGGTTGCGTCAGCAATCAAAGGCGCTAATTAATAATTTCCTCAATTATGAAGGGTTATATTGGTGATAAAGGAAACGCTTACATCTATGTTACACCAACCTTCGTTTCCTTTCTCTCTTAAGGCATTAAAGATGCTCCTCTTTTTGTTTTTGATTTATAGCGTTTTTCGTTTTGTGCTTATGATATCTTTTTGTGTCGATTTTGAGCGTGGAGTACATAAGTATGTAGCGGTGCTATTTGTACTTATTAATTTGCTCTAGATCTGCCTCTAGTAACTTCACTGGTGTTAACATATACTATATAAGTACTTGTTTAAACAATCCTGCAATTATGTTTGTTTATCAATTCTTTTATATCTTGTTATTCTAATCTTGCATTGTTGATGTTTATATTGAGTGCTTATTTTTTTATTGTGCATATTGAAATATGTACTTGCCTGTTTCATTTTCAAAATTGTAGTCTGATCGTTTAACTATCGAACTTGTTATTGTCAACATTTTGTTTTTATTTTGTCCTTTGTTACTGTTGTAAACATTGCCTGCTATGTGGTTAGCTTCTGTGGTTCGTTACTGCTGTTACTGTTTCTTTTTTGTTCTTAGTTTTCTCTTTTTGTTCCGCTTCGGTTATTCATCATCTGATTTTGTCGGCTTGATTTGATACTCTTGTTTTTGTCTTCTTGATTTGATACCCCTGTTTTTGATGGCTTGATTTGATACTCCTGATTTTGTCGGCTTGATTTGATACTCCTCTTTTTGTTGGCTTGATTTGATACTCCTCTTTTTGTCGACTTGATTTGATACTCCTGTTTTTGTTGGCTTGATTTGATACTCCTGTTTTTGTTGGCTTGATTTGATACTCCTGTTTTTCTCTTCTTGATTTGATACTCCTCTTTTTGTCGAATTGATTTGATACTATTGTATTTGTCGGCTTGATTTGATACCCCTGTTTTTGTCGGTTTGATTTGATACTCCTGTTTTTGTTGGCTTGATTTGATACTCCTGTTGTTGTTGGCTTGATTTGATACTCCTGTATTTGTCGGCTTGATTTTATACTCCTGTAT